GGTATTGAATTATTTGTTTACATTTTTAAGTGTTTTGTTAATTTATTAATACAATTGCGAAAGAAAACCTTATCACACCATGTGATTATTAGGTATACCTAATTAGTAATTTTATTAACAACAAAGTCAAAACAATGAGCTAAATAAATTAAACAATCAAACTTAGGTTTTTACAGTATTTCCGGAATCTAAACAAGAGTGTTCTAATAAACCAATGAAATTGGTTTTTATGAACCAATTTGTACCTACATTTATATTTATAAAAATAGTTGAGAAAATGTATTATGTATCTCTGATTTCATTCATTTGACTTAAATGAAAACGAAAATTTCACTCTGCAATTATTGATCACATTTTTGGATTTTATTTATTTCGACAAATTTTGTAAAACTCAATAGTACATAAAGTTTTTATTTTACAAAAAAGTTTTTTTAGTTTTGGTTTTAAAAATGCGATTGAAGAAGATAATAAATGTTTATCATTAGTACTTTATTCATTGATAGGTATATTTAATTTTATGATTAATAAGTTTGATCCATTTTTTTAGAAAACTAATTACAAAATTCATTTATCGTAAAAAACACAATTATTAACTTCTCGTTTTTTTTAATTCTTATCTGCAGAGATAGGACACGAATTATTATGTAAATTAACATCATTTTATAGGTCATTTTTGAGGTTCAAATACTGCTTCATATTTATAAACAACCCTGTATAATATGTTGTCATATATCCATATTCTCTTTATATTTCACAATATCTCTGGATCTAAATATTTTCCCTATTAATATGAAAACATTAATATGAAAACGACTTTATAATTTTTTGAGTCTTTTAGAGTTTTTAAGTTTTAAATGTTTACAATTTTATTTTTGTGAAGTATTTGTGTTTCAAAATCTTTTTATTTCTCACTTTTCCAATTTATTAGATTTTACGATTTGTTATAATTATGAATTATTTTTCATTTTTTCTCTACTTTTAGTTGGCTTTTATATATTTTATTTATTTATTTTGTACTCAATGTTAAAGAGTGCTTTTATCAACTAATTTCAGTAGATAAAGTAGTCTTTTATCGTCTAGTGAAATAAAGTAATTTTTATCTACTGTTTATATCCAAGAAATTCTGGTAGGTGAGTACAAAATAAAACGAAATATTAGGTATACACGGCGACAAAGATTGTTTATCTACTCGTGAAAAAAGTCCACTCGTGACTTCGTCACTCGTAAATTAACCTTTTCATTCGTAGGTAAACAATCTCTTTATCGTCTTGTATAATAAATAACTATTAATCTGTTTTATGTATTATTTACAATTTTCAAGTATTTTTTGGTATTTTATTGATCTTTTTCTATTCAGAACTTACCTTTTTTATAATTTCTTGAAAAATTATGAGGGACTAAAATAATTGAACTTAGATTGGGAAAAAAATGTAAAGTGTGAAAAATCAAAGCTCTTATTAATGTTTAAAACATTTAAAATCACAAAAGCAAAAAATCTGAAGTCTGAAAATTAATAAATGGAAAAAGTAGACACTACAAAAAAGTCAAAAAAAAGATTTAAAACTTGTAGATTTTAAAAAAGGAAACGCTGATAGAAAAATATGTTAAAAACTGTTTACTTTGTGAGTTTAAAAAACAAAAAAAAAAGATACATTAAAACAAATAGTTATAAAAAATTCAATTGAGGAATTCAAAACTGAAAAAAATTTAAAAAACCCTGTAGAGTAAACCCGGTAGAGTTGGACCTCAGAATTTAAAATCGTTGCCAACTGTATATCTACCTATACCTATCTTTAAAAAAATCTTAATATTAGAATATACATTTTCATTATTACTTTTAAGATTTGTTGTTTTTTAATGATTTAGATGCATGTTTTAACGCCTTTTTTAATCAAATACAAAATTATTTTTTCTAATTAATATAAAAAATCAATATTTAATTGACATTTTTGAAAAGCTATACATCAGGTGCGCCAGAATTTACGCCCCAGAGAAAAATTTCAAATATAGGTATAAGATAAGATACCAGAAACATTGAAAATGTTGAAAAAATTCTATTTGTGAAAAAATTTTGACATTTATTATTTTGACATTTGACATTTTTATGTCTATTTAATGATACTGATGATGTTGTATATGCTTTTATTATTTTAATAAAGGTACAAAAATTTTAACAATAAAAGCTACAAATAACATTGAACAGAGTTACAATTTAGGATACAGTTTCCTTGTTTCCTCTTCTAATAACCTGTAGCAAAAATACTTGGAAAATTATTTTTCTAGCAGAAATAAATAGAGTCAAAGTGCAAAATTTAAATTCATGATTTCGAAATTTTTATAGATAAAATCTTTTTAACATTTTTTCTATGTCCTTTTTAACTTACCTTACATGACATTTATCTCTGGGGCGCGAGTTCTGGCGCACCCTGTATATACATCTACCTTAGAAAATTTGGTAGGTAGGTATAATATTTTAGTTTACATCAGTTTGGAAAATAATTCAATGGAGTAAAGAACCCCTTTAGTTATTGTACGGTTTTTTAGAGCCACGCTGTATAGTATTAAAAAGTTGATTGTTGTGGTTTTTATATTAGGTACACTATATGTTTGCAATGGAAGCACACAAAAATCGGACGAATTTTACTTCAGCTTAACTTCAAGACAAAAACATGTACTCGTATGTATGTAAACAATTATTATTGTTTTTTTTAATTACTATAATTAGAAAAATTATCAAACACCAAATATAACCTTTATTTTCACGGCTTCGACAATAAATAACAAGACAAAAAACAACTAATTGTTTTATTATGTAGGTACAGCACACTTTTTAAAACGTTATAAAACTTATATTTTGTATAATTTTTTAAGTTTAAATCAAAATATTTTATGCTTTTGGTGGTATTTATCGATTCAATCAGCTGTTTCCTCTCCCACATTTATCGTAGCCGTCATTTCAAATAGCAAAACTCCGTGCATCGCAGCCGGCCGTGTGTCGTCGTGATTGGTCACGCTTGGGGGCCATGTTACTATCTGTCCCGTTTCGCCATTGGTCGCCTTTTTCAGGATGAGACCAACGAGCGGCGGCGTCACCCCACCGACGTCTCTCACTGTTTGCCAATCTTTTAAAGTGGCGTTAAGCTCCTGTTATCAGCCAGCTGCAAACTTACGCCAGTTATGTTTACCAGTCATTGGAGATAGTAGCCCCGTATTTGGACAATCTATCTGTCCCTTCACGGCTGAGGTTATATGGATGATGATTACGTTCCGGGATTTTATTGTATCGCACGGTTGAGGGAGGAAATTGACTTTAGACGTGGGGTGGAAAATTAATCAGATTATAATAAAATGAAAGTTTTAAATACCTAATAATCGGCTTTCGCAGATGTCAATAAATCATAATTAATTAAACATGTCATATTTTTGTAATATAGAAAGTTTTTTTAATTTCTTAACCGGACATTTTTTGAAAATTTACTCTAAAGCAGGCTTTAACGTCAAATTTGACTTTTCAAAATGTCAAACTGACAGAAATAACAAGTGACAAGTTCAAAATGAGGTTACTTTCGAAGGGCCGCTTTACATTCAATAATCATGCTGTCCCATTTTTTGTCCGCAATTGTAGGTATACTATCCAAAATTTTAACATTTAATCATAATCACTTTCAATTGGTTATTGAAAAATTGGTTCCATTTTTTTTAAATATCTACCATGCCGGAAGGGAAATGGGACATTTTCTAAAAATTTATTGTAAAGCAGGCTTTAACGTCAAATTTGGCTTCACAACATCAAAATGACAGGAATAAGTACATCAGTGACAAGTTCAAAGTGAGCTTATTTGCTAAAGGCTGTTTTATATTTACCTTGCTGAATCATTTTTTTATCCGCAATACAGCGTCAAAAATTGTATAAATAGGCAACCAATAATACAATAATTTGTAAATTTCTTGCTGTTGTTCCCATTATTAGACATTTTAGTTTTGAATTTAATATTTTTTTGAAATTTCTGATAGTCAGGTACCGACTATGATTATTTGATTTAGAATAGTTAATACTTTACACAAAATAGTTTATAAAATGCTATTTTTGCTCCGTCAGGCGGGAACAAATAAAATGGGCACCCTGTATTAGTTACAAATTTTATGTCGGTTGTATATCTAACAATTATGCTTTATTTTAACGTTAAAAATAAACAAAAAAATTATATAACATTTCCATGATTTCAAGACTGAATAAATTTCTCTCAAAATGAGCATTTTTTACAATTTAAGTATTACATTACTGAATTAGGAAAAAATCTTAAAAAAATTACAAAAATTTGACCATTTGTGATATAAAAAAATCAAGTTAGTTTTGTATCTCCAAAAACAAATGAGTGTAGAAATTTAAAAATATTTTATGGAATGTATGGGTTTTAATGTTTAATTTATTGGCAACATTGAATTATTAATAATCCTTCTAATTTGTTGTCAAAAAGTGTCAGGTGACGGCTAAATCATAAGTCGCCCGTTGCAAATGAATGACGATTGCTTATAAAAGTTTGACGTTTGAATTTGAAAGTCAAGGTTGGCAAACTAAAATTTTAAATTTGACACCAAGTTGAGGTAAAAAATCACAATCATTTACAGTCACCTGGTACCATGTAGCAAATGTCAACACAATTCTTCATCGTATAATAAATAATTGTTTGAATTAATCTTGAAAAAGAATTATTTTTTAATATAATTTCAAAAAAGTTGTATGTGGCAAGTAAAATTCTGTTTTAAGTAAACATGAAAATTCACGTTAGCGTGAAATAATAAGAAAAATGTTTTAATTATAGGCAGCCAACAATACACTGCCATTTTGTAGTGTTTGTTTTCTAAATTGCAGTTGTTCAGTAGTGATATATAAATAAATTTAAAATGTAATTGCAATATTTATTTATAAATAAACTTGTGTATTAATAATTGGCAAGTCAATGTGCATAATAAGTTTCGATGTTCATTTTATCGAACATCGAATTACCACCTTTCCGAAAACTGCAAATGTCATTAACCTGTCAACCTGTGATTTGATGATGTAACAGAGTCAAAGTAAAACAATTCTGTTTATGTAACAAACGTGCAAGTTTATACTAAATGAATGTCGCAACAAAGCTTCATCTTTACTGTAATTTCTTCAACTAGTAAGAGTTTAATTCATTTTCCCATAAAATCGGTTATTTGGCCAAGCACGTGTCACAGATCTGTCAAGAATTTGACTTTCAATGATATCCCGAAAATTCTTAGTTTTAAATGAAGTTAAAACGAATGCTACATCCGTTGTAGTTGAGAAATTATGATAATAGAAACCACAGTGACCTCGAGTTAAAAAACCCAAGATGTCTTTTCTCAGTGTGATAAGGAGGAGTGCCCCAAAACTGATAAAAACTTGCATTATTCGCCCCGTAACTAACGGAGTCCCAAATTTAAACAAAAAAGAGTGAGTATAAAAAAAAAACTTTACGAAAATATTGGCAATTTATTTTTTTTCAGAATTGAAGTTACATTTGTGAGACACGATGGTACTCGCATTAAAACTAAAGGAAAAGTAGGGGAATCCTTTCTGGATGTGGTTGTCAATAATGATTTATCTTTAGAAGGTTTTGGCGCTTGTGAAGGCACCTTAACTTGCTCAACTTGTCATCTCGTCTTCAAAAAAGAAGATTTTGACCAACTCCCCGATCGTCCTGAAGGTGAAGAAGGCGACATGCTGGAATTGGCCAGAGGTGTCACGGACACGTCTCGTCTAGGTTGTCAAGTTTTTTTAACAGAAAATATGGACGGAATTGTTGTTGATGTTCCAGAGAGCTCAAACGACGCAAGACTTCAGTGAAACCCACTTTCTAATTTAGTCAATTTTATTTATAGGGGAATTTAGGGGGAGGGTGGTAACACTGCGTACTCAAATTGTCGACTAATTTTAAGTAACTAACCCGCTTTTCTAGTTTTTTGGTGCTTCTCTTTATTTTGTTATTAAGTTGAAATATGTACAGAGTTGTTAATAAATATTTTTTAAGAGTTTACAATAAAATGTCACAATTTGTGTTTTTGTTCTTGCCAACCTCGTAGACAAAAAATTGAAAATTTGTCAAGTGAATGACTTTTTAATTATTTATTGGAACAATATGTTAGTCAAAAATTGAAAATGGACATGGTTTTTATAATTTTTGAATTATCTGACGAGAAATATTTCGTTGTTGATTTTTCTCAATGTGAACGTAGCTTAATCCACCAAATGTCACTTTTGACATTAGTGTTTTCTAACCTCAATTAGACAAATTTTAGTTTTTAAGCCTTCAAAAACCTCAAATCTGTGATATCACAATGCTGGCAACACGCACTCGGCTCCTTTTATGTATTTTCAACAAATCAAGTAAAATCACAATTGCCAACCTTCACAAACAAATCATTTGAATCATTTTAGGTGTCTTCCGTTCCTATTGCAAAAAAGCAACAAAAGGGAAATTCGAGTTCCCTAGAAGGACAATATTTAAGTCTTATGGCCAACCCACACACGAAACACACCCCCAACTTTTGCAAAAGGACGAAATAACCCCCCAGATTAAACGGTCCGAGTTTCAAGAACGGAGACAGAAATTGATGGAACAAATCAGTGTGTACGTTAATGAACGTAATCCTGCGATGAAGCAACATTTGGTGGGTTATTTAAACCAAGTTTCGGGAGTAATTCCCCTGATTATAGATAGTTATCCCTTCTGCTACAAAACAATACATGTCGGACAAAATCCCTTATTTTTTCCGCCAAAACACCGATTTTCTCTACCTGACCGGATGTTTGGAGCCCGACAGTTGTCTCGTTTTGGCCACGACAGCCCCCGATCAGCATTGCTCAACCCTCTTCATGCGGGAGAAAGACGACCATTCTGAGTTGTGGGACGGCCCCAGAACGGGGCCTGACCTCGCCCCAAGTGTGTTTGGAGTGGACCAAAGTCTACCAATCAACGAACTCGAGAATTATCTACACTCGTTTTTCAAATCCAACAACAAATTTAGTCTTTGGTATTTGGGGTTTCCCCCAATTTCATCCAATTATTTCACCCGTTTTCAGGTACGACTTCATGAACCCCGTCCAAATCGACGTACACAAAACAATGGTCGATTATTTAAACTTCATGCGACTGAAAATGTGGGAATCCCCGAAAGTTTTTATACATAAACAGAGACTAATCAAGAGTCCTGCTGAAATAGCTTTAATGCAACAATCTTGTGACATTGGCGCCAATTCGATTGTTGAAACCATCAAAGCTTCACGTCCTGGTAAAATCATGAAAAAATCGCTGAAAAATTTTCAGTCACATTTGTAGGAATAAACGAGAGTCAGATTTTTGCTAAAGTCGATTATGAATGTAGGATGCAAGGGGCGGAGTATTTGGCATACCCCCCGGTGGTGGCGGGGGGTAACAGGGCCACCACTATTCACTACATTAACAATAACCAAATTGTACAAGAGGGAGAGATGGTATTAATGGATGCTGGTAAGGATCACGTGATTGCGTCATTGCTCACGATTCGTTGATTTCAAACACGTGACTTGAAACTGACGTTTTGATTGGCTTTCGCAGGGTGCGAATTTCACGGTTATTCAAGCGACATTACCAGGACTTGGCCCATCAATGGAAGATTTACCAACAGTCAAAGAGAGGTCTACGAGGTGGTTTTAGACGTTCAGAAGAAATTAATTCAGTTGTGTGGAAATTTCCCCACTTTGGACAGTTTATTTGACTCAATGTGTGTGTTATTGGGGAAGGGTTTGCAACAAATTGGAGTAATACCGAAGATATTGACCAATCAGGCGTTGACACGGGTTAATTGTTAATACTTGGAGTCGGAGAAAAAATATAGTGTGTATTCCAGGCCGCCTACCAATTTTGTCCACACCACGTGTCCCATTATTTGGGGATGGATGTTCACGATACGCCCCTAATTACGAGAAATATTAAAATACAGCCAGGCATGATTGTGACAGTTGAGCCCGGTATTATTATTTTTTTTTGGTTATTTTTTTTTTTCTAATTTTCTGATTCAGGGGTGTATATTAATCACAAACACCAACAATTACCAAAAGAATTCCTCGGATTGGGGGTACGAATCGAAGACGATGTTTTAATTACTGAGTCCGGCCCTGTGGTTCTTACCCGCAACTGCCCCAAAGAGGTGTCAGATGTTGAGAATATTTCTAGTCAGAATTTGTGACTTGTTTAAAAATAAAAAATATTTTATTCAATTCGTTTGAGTATCAAATACAGAGAAAAGTCTTAAATCCAACTACAATTTTATCACTTGTACATAAATCTAGTGCCCCAGAAATGCACTTGTCATTTTTTCGCCCAACTCCGTTGCGTGTGGATTTACCAATCCAAGTCTTTGTGGGGTTCCCCGCCCGGATACTCGCCGGTAAGGCAGGCAGTGCAGTGACCGACTTTGTGCGAATTCTTGGTTTTGATATCGGACCGGACGGCTTTCACCAACCCTTCCACACTTAAATATTTCAAACTGTTGGCACCTGTGAAGCAATAAATAACGTAGCTAATGTTGTCAATTGTAGAAACCTAACTTACCGACTTGCTCGGCTAACTGATCCGGATCGAGTTTATTAGCGATTAATTCTTCCCTTGTGGGTATATTAATGCCCATATAGCATGGGTAAAGCAGAGGCGGACTGGCCACTCTGATGTGCACTTCAGTGGCCCCCGCGTTTCTCAGTAGTTTAATAATGGGCCCGATTGTGTTTCCCCTGACGATCGAATCGTCGATTAAAATCACTCGTTTCCCCTTAACGCTCCCAGAGAGCGCCCCAAACTTCTTCGCGATGCTCAACTGCCGCAGTCGGTTGCTGGGTTGGATGAAGGAGCGCCCCACGTACCTATTTTATTATTATTTTTATTATTACAAGGTATGTCAGAATTCGCGTCCCAGAGAAAAAAATAAAATTCACCAGATCCGGAAATGAAAAAATTTCCAAATTTTCAGCAGATTTGTATGGGAGAAAAAAATAGTGTTCTGCTTAAACTCTTGAAAAAAGGCAAAAATGTCATGCTTTTCGGCCTAATTCTGTAATTTTTTAGTTAGTTTTCAACAAAATTTTGCGTTTTTCTAGCTGAAAAACGTGCTAAAACGCTCGAGAAATGCAAAATAATGTAATTCTAAACTTAATCTCTAACTTGATTATTTAGTTTATTGTTTTAGCGAAATCTAGCGAAAAACCTGAGATTTTAGTACAAAAACGTGCTTAACAGCATTTTCGTCCAAATTTTGTGGTTTCTCAGCTTATTTTTGCTCAAAACCAGTTAAATCAAGTGAAACAAACAAAATAACATCAATATCAATCCTCCTTGTGATATTTAGACGTGTTTGGAGAAGATTTTGTAAAATAAATGAACCTCTGGTTCAAAAACGAAGTAAGTCGGGCGAAAGAAGCAAACAAAATAATGATATCAATTTCGATTTAATTTTGTAATTTTTTACCCTGTTTCAATGCAATATTTCTAACTTTTTGTGTTTATATCTCTCAAAAACATCCTTAACACTCGAAAAAGACAAAAAAACGCAGTTTTGGGGCTATTTTATTGAATTTGTGACTTGTTTTTGTCAAAACTTTGTGTTTCTAGCTGAAAAAGCATTCGAAAAAACTAAAATAGGTTGTCATTTTCGACTCTGCTTAGTAATATCTTGTAAAAAACATAAAGAACTATTTTTAACCAATTTGGTGGTTTTCGATTAATATTTCTTTTAGAAAATTTGGCGAAATAATCAAGTTAGAGCCTAAGAGTTATGTACAAATATCATAATATAATCTTTTCTTACAACAATTTTGTTATTTTTGACACGCTATGGCAAACCCTCGTGAAAAAAACAAAGTTTTCAGCTTGAAAATCGGCTTCAACTTTTGAAAAAGGAAAAAATTATTTCGTTTCGGCCTAATTCTGTGTTTCTAACCTATTTTGCGAAATAATTGCGTTTCTTGCTGAAAAACATGCTAAAACTCTCAAGAAATGCAAAATTAATGTAATTTTCGACTTATGACTAATATGTTAATTTTTCAGTTCCTTTTAGCGAAATCTCGCAAAAAACCTGAGATTGTAGTACAAAAACATGCTCAAAAAGATTCTCGGCTACTTTTTGTTTTATTTTGCTCAAAAAACAGTTAAGTCGAGTGAAACAAACAAAATAAACATCAATATCAATTGTTTTTGTGATTTTTAAGTCTGTTTGTACAAGATTTTGCAAAATAAATGAGCCTCTGGTTCAAAAACGAAGTAAGTTGAGCGAAACAAGCTAAAAATAATATAAATTTCGATTTAATTTTGTAATTTTTTTGCCTGTGCTTCAAAGAAATTTTTAGAATTGGCTTTATTTTTATCCCAAAAACGTGTTTAAACAGTTGAAAAGGGTGATAACGCCGTTTTTGGTCGAATTTGTTGAATTTTTGGATTGTTTTTAACGAAATTTTGCGATATAATTGTGTTTCTAGCTAAAAAAATATTCGAAAAATACAAAAATAAATTGTTATTTTCTATCCTGTCTAGTAAAAGCTTGGAATAAAACCAACAGAACAATTTTTAACTAATTTGGTGGTTTTCTACTTTTTTGAAAAAACTTAACGAAATAATCAAGTTCCTGGTTGCAAACGTAGAAAATGCTCGAAAAACAAATTTTTTATTTCCAGAAAATCACCACATATTAGAATTTTTACAAAAGTTGTAAAAATTAAAATCACCAGATCTGGTGAAATTTCACCACAATTGGCAACACTGGATGAGATACCAGAGGAACAAGGAAAAATTCTATCTGTCAAAGAATTTTGACATTTGACATTTCTTTACGTCTATTTAATGACACTGATGATCTTGTACAAGTATATGTTTTTTTTATAATTATTTAGTAAAGGTACAAAAACTTTGCCAATAAAAGCCACAAACAGAGTTACACTTTAGAAAAAAAAACTTGGAAAATTATTTTTCCAACAGAAATAAATAGTCAAAAAGCAAAACTTGTCATAACTTCGAAATCTTAATAGATAGAATTTCTTAAACATTACTCCATGTTCCTGGTATCTTATTTTTCTCTCTGGCGTACTCTGTATTATTTTATTATTATTATTTTTTATTACGTGCCTGTTCTTGCACAAGACCTCGGAGAAGGAGATTCCGCTTTGTCGGGAGAAGCCGTGGGCGGCGGCCGTGCCCGATTCGGGGACGGAGCTCACGATGTCGGCTTCTACAGGGTGTTCGATGGCCAATTGGCGGCCGCATTGCATCCGCACGGCGTACACCATCTGGCCCTCGAAGATGCTGTCAGAACGGGCGAAGTACACGTATTCGAAAATGCAGAAGGCTTGGATCTTGTCTTCGGGGCGTTCGACAATGTCGATGGTGCGGATGCCGTGACGGGTCATTTCAATTATCTCCCCGGGGAAGACCTCGCGGACGTATTGGGCCCCAATGGAGAGGAAGCCGCACGACTCGGAGGAGACCACCCAGCCCTCCGCTTCGCGGCTGTCGTCGCAATCGCCGTCGAGGGCTGCAAAGTAAATTTTTGATTTTTTCAATATACAGGGTGAATGAGTAAAAATAAAATAATTGGCGGAAAATAAGCCTTTTCGTGGCCCACAAAGCCTGTATTTTATGAAAATAACTAAGTGGTTTCGGGGGAACTAATAAATTTTAATTTTTGTCATATAACTTCATCACCGTGTATATCCGTAACGAAGCTTTATAAGACTGTAGTTTATTTGACAAATTAGTGTCATTTTTTGATGTAAAACATGTGGTTGCAATTTTTCGCAATATTGAGAAAACACCCTGTAAAATGTACAGGCTGTTCCGTATTAAAAGTTTTGAGTTCCAATGATATTTATCTGAAACTTTGTATACAGCCGTAATCGGTGTTTACCCAGCCCATGGCTTTGACCCCACTCAAATAAATAAATAATAATTGCTATTGCTCGTCAGTGTCACCAACCCAAAAACATAAAATTCATCCAGATCCGAGTTAAAAAAGTTGCAAAATCTCGTAAAAAAACGAAGTTTGCAGCTTTCAATCTTAAAATCAGCAAACATGATATCATTTTCGGACTAATTCTGCGATTTTTTTGCTTGTTTTTAAGAAAATTTTTCGAAATAATTACGTTTCTAATTGAATGAAAAACATACAAAAAACGCTAAGAAATGTAAAAATAGTATAATTCTCGATTTATCTGGTTCATTTCTTGGTATGTTTTGGCGAAATCTCACGAAAAACACTAGATTTTAGTACAAAAACGTGTGGCTTTTGTTGCTTTTAAACACAAATTCTGTGGTTTCTCGGCCTATTTTTGTATTAATTTTGCTCAAAAACCAGTTAAATCAAGCGAAAGCTACAAAATAATATCAATATCAATCCTATGCGTGTTTGAACAAGATTTTGCAAAATAAATGATCCTCTGGTTCAAAAAAAAAATAAAAAATAAATAAGTCGAGCGAAATAAAGTAAAATTTTTTAGTCTGTTTAAGCGAACTTTTTCTAAATTGTGTTGTTTTTATCTCTAAAACGTGCTCTAACATTCAGGGAAAAATAACATCATTTTTGGCTTGTTTTCAATGAAATTTTGCAAAATAATTGTGTATACTCGTATAGCTGAAAAATGTACCGAAAACAAAAATAAATTGCCATGTTTGTATCATAGTTCTATTTAATCAAATTAGTAATTTCTCGATTTTTTTGAGAAAATTTGGCAAAATAATCAAATTTCAGGTTAAAAAATATAGAAAATATTCGAAAAAGATGCAAAAAAGTATCATATATTTTTATCTAATTTACTATAAATATTTTTTGTTGTAACGGCAGCGTTACAAGAGTTTTTTTTTCATTAAAACAAATCACCTGATATTCGAATTTTTTCAAAAAAATCACCAGATAAACATGAAAATCACCATGTTTAGTGGAATTTCACCAAACCTAACAACACTGTTGTTCGTCATTTGTTTCCTAGCTGGGTAGACATCAACATAATCTCAAATAGTGTTGCCAAAGGCGCTAAACCACTAAAAAACAAACGAAAAGACTGAAACTATTAATAAAAGTATGGATGGAAAACAGTGATAAAACCTGCTTAAACATTCAAAAAGATAAAAATAATATCATTTTTTGCTTGTTTTGTTGAATTTTTGCCTTGTTTTTAACAAAATATTGCGAAATAATTGCGTTTCTAGCTGAAAAATATAATTTTCGACTTAATTGGTTGATTTTTTGGTTTATTTTTTAGCTTGTGAAATCATTTCGTTTTTATCTTTAAAACGTGCTGAAACAGTAAAAAAGGAAAAAATAACACCATTTTTGGCCTGTTTTGTTGAATTTTTGGCTTGTTTTTAATGAAATTTTGCAAAGTAATTATGTTTCTAGCCGAAAAAGGTACCAAAAACAGAAGTAAATTGCCGTTTTTTGTTGTAACCGTAGCGTTACAACATTTTCTTCATTTCCAAAAAATGACCTGATATTTAATTTTTTACCAGATTAACATGGAAATCACCAGATCTAGTGGAATTTCACCAGACCTGACAACACTGTTGTTCGTCTTTGGTTTTCTAGCTGGGTAGACTTCTTTGTGAACTGCCCTCGTACATCACCCCTCACCCTATTTACAAGGAGTATAGTTTTTTCACTCTGTTCTTAAAATGGAATTTTCGCGAAGTGAGAGAGGAAAGCCTTTAATGATTTGTGAAGGTTTTAAATACACAAAAAAGAAGGTGTTAAAAGCGCGTGGTGAGGAGTGTTGGGCTTGTACGAATAAAAAATGTAGGGCAAAAATTTATGCAAAGAACAATGGAAAAGTGTTAGTTCGAAGTCTCAATCACCATAATCATGAAAATGGAACAAAAGGAAATTCTTTAACACGAAAAGCCACCAAATGGGTTGATTCTACAGTTAAGAATAATTCAGGTAAGTAAATCATCGACATAACCTCAAACAGTGTTGTCAAAGGCGCCAACCACTCAAAAGTAAACGAAAAGGTTGAAACTATTAATAAAAGTATGGAAAACTGTTTAAGCGAACTTTTTCGATTTTTAAAATTTTTTTATCTCTAAAACGTGCTTAAAAATTCAAAAAATAACATTATTTTTTGCCTATTTTGTTGAGTTTTTGGCTTGTTTTTAACAAAATTTTGCGAAATAATTGCGTTTCTAGCTGAAAAACGTACCAAAACGCTCGAGAAATGTAAAAATAATACAATTTTCGACGTAATTGGTTGCTTTTTTAGTTTGTTTTGGCGAAATCTCACAAAAAAACCTGAGATTTTAGTGAAAAAAATTGGTAAGTAGAAAATTTCATTTATTTTGCAACTTTTTAGCTTGTTTAAACGAAAGTTTTTGAAATTGTTTTGTTTTTAAAGTGAACTTTTTTCCATCGCCTCAATTTTTGTTTTATAAAGTAAGAAGGTTGCCTTGTAACTTGGAGTGAGAAAAACTATGTTTGGTACCATTGGAAAGAAAATTTAATTTTCTGTCATATACAAATAAATCAGTGTTCGGCGATAAATAGTTATCGAGAAAATTTCTGACAGACAAATAAAAAAAAATGAATAAAACTATAAATTAAAATATTGCAAGTTTTAACAAAATAAATTTATATTTTTTTATCTATGTACACAGGGTGCGCCAGAACTCGCGCCCCAGAAAAATGCCATATAAGGTAAGATACCAGGAACATGTAATAAATGTGAAAAAAATTTATTTATAAAAATTTCGAAGTTATGAGGGTTTAAAGTTTGCACTTTGAGTCTATTTATTTCTGTTGGAAAAATAATTTTCCAAGTTTTTTTTTGCTATAGGCTATTAAAAGAGGAAATAAAGGAGCTGTATCCTAAATTGTAACTCTGTTCAATGTTATTTGTGGCTTTTATTGGCAACATTTTTGTCCCTTTACTAAATAATTGTCAAAAAAACATATACAAGATCATCAGTATCATTAAATAGATATAAAAAAATGTCAAATGTCAAAAAATAAATGTCAAAATTTTTTGATAGATAGAATTTTTTAAACATTTTTTTCATGTTCCTGGTATCTTACCTTACTTGAAAATTTTCTCTGGGGCGCGAGTTCTGGTGCACCCTGTATATTTTATTTATTTTACCCTTAATAAAAATATTTTATCAGTATTTATTTTACGGAATTCTAGTTTTTCAACTTAATAATATGTATCGTTGCATATCCTATTTTTAAAGTCACTCCAGTGACGTCAATTCGAGCGAATAATGCGTACACGTGATTGGTGCAAAGTTACGAGACAACCTTCTTTATAAATCTTGATCCATGTCGCATTACAGCCGGCTGCGGAGTAGGGGTAAAGTGATAGGCGCTTGACAGAGCAGCCAAGGCCAATATGGCGGCGCCCATGGCTCGCATCAGCTGACAGTGTAGCATTTATATTTTTATCATACGTGCAAGTGTCTTTTGATCAGTGTATTGATGTAAATGTTGTCCACTTGATCGTGATGGACAACGATACCGCTAGTAAGTCAAATAAACCGGTCAACAGGGGAAAAACCAAGAATAGTGCGAAAATATCCGACGATGAATTAATTTTACGCCGTAAGAGACAGAATGCCGCGAGAGTTCGTGCTTTTAGGGAAAGGAAAAAGGCTCTTGGTGAGTTATTTTAATTTTTTTAGTGAATTTATTAGAATTATTGGAACTTTCTGTTGGTGCATATGTATTAATCTTAATTTTGAATGCTTGACAGGGCCGCCACAAGCGGGGGTGGAGGGCGTGCGGCGCCATATCCAGGGGGCGCCAGACGAGCAACAAATTTTAATAAAATCATAAATAAAAAAATTGAATTACTCAAACCACAAAAGATGCAAAAAAATTAAAATACATAAACATAATTTAAAACAAACTACCAGGTGAATAAAAAGTATGGAACCAAACGTTTTTTCCTTAAACTATATATTTTTTGAAAAAACTAATTGAGTGATAAAGTACTACAAAAATGTGATGATTTAACAAGAATAAAATTTTTCGAAATTTCCTTTTGTTTTTGGGTTCTACAAAAAAAAAAAAAATTTTAAATGGCAACCCACTATAAAATAATTTTTCTCATAATAGCTATTCTCTAAGGATTACAACTATCTGCTTTATATTTAATTTAAAAAAAAAATTTTTGACAAAAAAAAATCGCATAACTCAAAAACAAAACAAAATTTCGTTCTGAAAATACGATCACATTTTTTATATTACTTTAATTTATATTAATTATTATTTTCTGGAGGCAAATGATTAAAAATAAAACCGCTTGGTTCCATACTTTATATTCACCCTGTACAACACAATATGTGGAGAAAGTCATCATACTGGAGGTCCGGATGTCCGGAAAAAATATTGAAAGATTTTGGGGGCAGGTCTCCTACGTCAAAAGAAGAAAAAAAATCTAAAGACCTATGTTCAGAAATGATTTCTAAGCGAACCCAAAAATGCTAAAAGATCTTTTTTTCCATTATCTCAGTAACCGGTGGACATAAATTTACAAAAGATTACATCTAACGTAATTTGAATGAATCTATTGGTGATATTACAAATTGTGTACTCTAATTAGGGGGGCGGAGGCAAGTGACAAGTAGTAAAGTTTCCTATAAAACTATATCACTTTTTTAAATTATTTCAAGAAATTTAATTTTTTTCTAGCAGAATAGATGCAGTTAAACAATTTTGGTATCATATCTGTAGACTTTTTTATACTCTGATGAAAATATTTGAAGATGATTCTTGGAATATTGCTACTACCCATAAAACTCCTTTACATGCCTTTGTTACAAAATCGTATTCGTTGTTTTCATCACAATTTGAGTTGATATTTTAAACAAAATAAATGATGCGGAATTTAAAAAGTGTAAATTTTCTTCAGAATCTAATATTTCATTTTACAAAATATCATTCAAATAAAAGCTTGAACCGAATTTTTATTTCGTAGCGTTGGTCCTCTTCTCGGTCTTATCAAATTCGATTAAACGGGACTGTACAAGGTGATTCTTTTAGGGCCTATATTAGAAACTTTTTAACTTCTAATGCAGATAGAAATTTAAAATTTGGTACACATCTCAAATCGACCAGTCTAAGTTCAATTAAATTATTTTAAAAATGGCTGAACTTCCGGAACTACGAGAAATTGGCGCCAACTTTGAAATTTTAAATGGTAACCACTTATTTTGATTGCATTTTTGAATTCTCCTCTCCAAACTGAGTAAAATGTATCTAGTTATTAGAACTTATCTGTCATAGTTTTTGACATACGTCAATTTTTTGCTCAAAATTTTCATTTGCAGAGGTTTATTAAAAACATCACAGCTCTTGAACCGTTTGTGATAAGTCAATAATTTTTTTTGCATTCGATAAGCAAACGTCCGAAGAGTTTCCTAAAATGTTCAAAATTGTCAACTGTCAAATTGCAAAGCTTATATGATTTTTTGAAAATGATATTTAACAAACAGCTATAACTCAGTTTTTTTCAAATAAAATGACCCCATTTTCTCAACGGCAAGCGAAAGTACATCGATTTCTAGAAGGACTTTTATCAACATATCCTATACCCATCTCTTACAGTTTCTGAAATAATCACGAAAAACATGTTTTTGTTTTTTATTTTTATAGTCAATCACGTAGGCTTTGGAAAATGATCAATACGTATTAAAGATTTAGTCTACACAACACCCATTCGGAATTACGAAGAATTGAGGCAAGGATTGAGACGGCATTTAATAATCTTCAACCAAATGAAATAATGGAAGCCACTCAAATCAGTTCACCATCGAATTTTGGACTGTTTGAAAATGGTAAACATATCGAATATCTGTATTAATTATGGTATATCTTTATTGTATTTTTTCAAAGCCAATGTGATTAACTATAAAAATAAAAATTATAACATGTTTTTCGTGATTATTTCAAAAACTGTAAGAGATAGGTATAGGACATGTTGATAAAAGTCCCTCTACAAATTAATGTACTTTTGATTGCCGTTGAGAAAATAGAGTCATTTCATTTGAAAAAACTGAGTTATAGCTGTTTGGTAATGATCATTTTCAAAAAAATCATACTAGCCTTGCAATTTGACAGTTGACAATTTTGAAAATTCTAGAAAACTTTTCGAATCTTTGGTTATCGAATGCAAAAAAAATATTCACTTATTGCAAAGGGTTCAAGACCTGTGATGTTTTGAATGAACCCCTGCAAGTGAAAATTTTGACCAAAAAATTGACATATGTCAAAAACTATGACAGATAGGTACTAACAACTAGGTACATTTTACTTAGTTTAAAGAGGAGAATTCAACAATGCAATAAAATTAAGTGGGTACCATTTAAAATTTCAAAGTTGGCGCCAATTTCTCGTAGTTCCGGAAGTTCAGCCATTTTGAAAATAATTTAATTGAACTTAGACTAGTCGACTTGGGTTGTGTACAAAGTTTAAAATTATTATCTGCATTAGAAGTTAAAAAGTTTCTAATGTAGGCTCTAAAAGAATCACCTTGTATAGGTAATATGAAATTTAGAAAAGTACAGTTTTTTAAGTAAAATTTTCAATGTAAAACTTATTTGATTATTTCCACTCTAGAAAACAACATTTTAAATACTTTTTAATTAATTACTTTGATTTATTGACACTTCTTGATAAGCAAGTTTAATAAAAATTCTCTTTAGTTTTTAATCTTAACAAAATTCTGTGAATATATTTTTTATAGGTACAAAGAAATACCCATACTTTATTAACAAAAAATAGGGCGCCAAATTCAAATTTGCACGCACGCGTTGAAACCTCTTGCGGCGGCCCTGAAGTATGTTAATTTATATCCGGTCCATTCAATATATTTAATTTTATTTAGCCCTCCAGTCATCATCACAAGCCGAACTAAAGTTTGAGCCGCCGGAAAAAAATAGTAGACTGATAACAGATGTTATGCCGAGTACTAGTAGGGGTCCAGCGTCGAGCTCTGGATATAATACGTCTATCATTCAAAGTGGCGACCCTGTATCCGAAAAAATTTTGCATCAAAGACAACTAAATGCGGAAAGATGTCGCAGGTATCGTCAAAAATGCAAGCAGCTAAAATCGAGTACGAAGACAAGTCGAGGATTAGTTGCTGATGCAGAGGATTTCCAAAACTCCTCAAATCACACTCAAGATTTTTCAAACGATGAATCCTCATCACAGGCTTCTGAAAATGCAACCGACGACGCAAATTCCAGCACTCCTGCAGGCTTATACTGTCGTCGGTACCGAGAAAGACTCAATGCACGAATAATACGAGCAGAAGAGGATCCCTCATCGATCTATACGTTGTATATCAGACATAATGGAGCTCATAATCTATTCGAAAACTTATTTGAGAATAACTCATTCGGTTTTGCGTGCACTGTTTGTGATAGACTATGGTTCAAAAATGATTTGAAAAGTCCGCCTTTATCGTGCAGTGCAATTTTGCGACAAATATGCCCAACTGTCTCCTTGCAAGATATTCGCGTGTGTGCGACCTGTAAAATGTCGCTAGTTGTTGGAAAAATACCGAATTTGGCCGTGAACAATGGGTTTAAGTATCCGCCTAAGCCGAATCTCCCTGAATTGGATTTAGTTTCCGAGCGATTAATATCACCCAGATTACCTTTTATGCAAATTCGACGGTTGCGATACCTCGAGGGACAATATAGAATCACTGGACAAGTTATCAATGTGCCCGTTGATGTTAATAACATGGTCCAAACACTGCCTCGAAATCTAGACGACGATTATTGTATAAATGTACACATAAAAAAACGATTAATGCACAAATCTAGTTATTTGCAAGGACTGGTAAAGAAGGGGGTTGTTAAAGACTGGCTTAATTATCTTGTGGCTACTCCGCTTTATAAGCATTATGACATTAAAATCAGCTTGAGGGAATTAAACAATGAGAGTGAAAATCCAGACATTGTTTTAGACGATTTCGCTGAACCAATTGAAACTGGTGATAGTCTAATTGCTGAACAGCATACTCTTTTATGGTCAGAGGATAAATATTTAGAAATTGCACCAGAAGAGAACAAAAGACCTATTAGTCTGTTTGATTCTCATGTGGAAGAATTATCTTTCCCAGCAATTTACTACGGTCAATTTCGGGAATTCAAAGATGGTGTTAATTGCACAGCTTACTCGATTGCAACAAGTGAATTGCGGCGCTCTGATCGACGAGGGGTCACTCCTCACCACTTGCTCTTCTTAGCCATGAAGATTATGAGTGAAAACATCAGCATTGCTTTGAAACAAGGCATAAACATAACGAAAGAGCAAATATTATCTTCCGATTATCTTAATGGTTGTATTGAATCAAACTTGGTTTTTCTCAAATCCATACCGAATTCAGTACAATATTGGGAAAGTCGAAAAGAAGACCTCTTTGCCATGATCAGGCAATTTGGTAAGCCAACGGTGTTTTTGACAATGAGCGCCAATGAAATATCATGGAAATGGCTTTTGAAAACATTGTATAAATTGAAACATGGCACGGAGATCACTGATTTAGAAGTTGATCAGTTGCATTATAAAGTCAAGGCAGAGTTAATAAATAAAGATGCTGTCATATGCGCCATTTATTTCAACAAACTTATCACTGTAATAATGACAATTCTTCAAAATAAAACCGTTAGCCCATTCGGTAAGCATTATGTTCAACATTATTTCAAGAGGATTGAATTTCAACACAGAGGAAGTCCTCATGCACATTTTTTGCTTTGGTTGAATGAGGCGCCTAAAGATGCTTTTGGGGCAGATATGGATTCTACTATTCGGCTTATCGATGATTTAATTTCAGTATCGAGCACGGAGTCCTCAGGTCTTATTAATCTCGTCACACACCATCACACTTTTACGTGTTATAAAAATAATCGGAAATGCAGATTCAATGCCCCTTTTATGCCTAGTCGATCAACTGTACTACTTAAGCCTTTGGCTAAATCTACTTATCGGGAGAAACGCGTTCATGATGAGTATAAAAAAAGATATCAAACAATACACCAAAATCTCGAAGACAACGACTACGATGACATTGATGATTTTTATCATAAAAATAGCATAACATCAGATGAAGATTATCATAAAATTCTGTCCGCTGGAATTTTACGGTCAATGGTTTTCGTTAAACGTCACCCCAATGAAAAATGGCATAACTCCTTCAATCCATTCATTTTTCACCACTTGCAATCCAACATGGATATCCAGTACATACCAGATGAGTATGCCTGTGCTGCATACGTTGTGGAGTGTGTAAACAAATCGAATCGAGGCATCAGTAATCTCCAACGGGAGCTATTGGATCTTTTGGAGGAAAATCCAAGTTTAGATTTGGTCGAAATGACAAGACATATGAGTGCTAATATTTTAAATACAATAGAAATGTCCAGCCAAGAAGCAGCATGGTTTCTCCTTAAGGAACCAATGTCTAAGTCAACACTTAAAGTTGAATTCATACCTACAATGTGGCCTCTGGAACGTCATCGTGTCAGAAAAACAGAAAAAGAATTAGAACGGCTTCCTGATGACGATACCAATATTTGGAAAGAAAATTGTTTCGAGAAATACGAAAATCGACCTGCAGAATTAGAAGATGTTTCGTTGATTCAGTTTGTTGCTTGGTATGCAGTCAAAGCTCGAAAAAAACCGTCGGGACCTCAAATTACATACCAAAATTGGGATACAGAAGATGAAGAAGACATTGAAGAAGAAGAAAATGTCAATCAGCAAAGTGAAAAAGTATATTATCGTCGAAAAACCCCAAGGATCGTACGCTATCGACATTACGATATGGCAAATCAAATGTTAGACTACAAACGTGAAATGGTTACCTTGTACATTCCATTTCGTAATGAAGAAAGGGACATTCTGGATGAAATGCGATTTAATCAAATCTATGAAGAAAATGAACAATTGATTTTAGCTTGTCGTGAAGAATTTGAAGCGAATTTAGATATTGACAAAATTATTGAGGCGTACAGAAAATTATGTCGTCCTGATGAAAATGAAGAAGACCTTGAAATTTTGCCGCTTATGCAGCATGATGCGAATCCATTCATCGAATTTGACAACAATCCAGATGCAGGTACTGTTCCGCTTTAAAGTATAGTATCAATACCTTTTTTTCTATCGCCTCAAATTTTTTCGTCCATCTATCGCATGTCGCATTACAGCCGGCCGCGGTGTAGGGGTAAGTGAAAGGCGCTCGGCAGAGCAGCCAAGGCCAATATGGCGGCACCCAAGGCTCGTATCAGCTGACCGTGTAGCATTTATATTCTTACTCATTCGTGCAAGTGCTCCGCGGTATTTGTGTGTTTTGATCAGTGTATTGATGTGTATTAATCCGAAAAAGAGTTTCACTTATTGCATCGTGGTTTCATAAAACCACACAATTTTTTTATCTCTAAAACATGCTTAAACACTCAAAGAGGGAAAAAATAACATTTTTGGCTTGTTTTTTATGAAATTTTGCAAAGTAGTTTTTAGCTGAAAAATGTACCAAAAACAGAAGTAAATTGCCGTTTTTTGTTGTAACCGCAGCGTTACAACAGTTTTTCCAAAAAATCACCTCATATTAGAATTTTTCCAAAAAAAATCACCAGATTAACATGAAAATCACCAGATCTACTGGAATTTCACCAGACCTGGCAACACTGTTGTTCGTCTTTTATTTTCTAGCTGGGTAGATTTCTTTGTGAAGTGCCCTCGTACAGTTGCGAAATTAAAATTTTGGGCAGTATTAAACTCTAAACAACCTTTACATTAATAACCTCATTTTGTATTTTTGTTATGTTTATGTCATTTTGACTTAGGTACTTATTTACTTTCAAAAATAGCGTCACTGACAGAAAAATTCAATTCTTAAATGTCAATCATGATGACAGTAAAAGGTACTTTATAGTAAACTTTTTGAAGTGACAGAAAAATACTGCCCTAAATTTTAATTCCGGAACTGTACATCACCATCCCCCCACCCTATTTACAAAGAAAATATTACCATGTCAACAAGAAATTATTCCCTAGGATTTAGGGAAATTCGAAAATATGTTGTCATAAATTTGGTTAGCTTGGTTTGTAATGACAAACATAGGATATCGTAACTTGTGTCAAAAATTTAGGTTAAGTCACCTGTCAGCTTGTGTAGATAACTCAACAGCAGGTTGACAGAAAACGTCAACCGTCAACAACAAGGGGTCCCCAACACTAGGCATTCAAAATTACTTCTGAAAATTCTAGTTATACAAACAACATGAAAAACGTAATTTACCTAAAAATTCCTAGGTGGTAATTTCTTGTTGACAAATCTGTAGTTTTTTCAGTCTGTTCTTAAAATGGAATTTTCGCGAAGTGATAGAGGAAAGCGTTTAATAATTTATGAAGGTTTTAAATTCACAAAAAAGAAAGTGTTAAAAGAGCATGGTGAGGAGTGTTGGGCTTGTACGAATAAAAAAATGTAGGGCAAAAATTTATGCAAAGAACAATGGAAAAGTGACAGTTCGAATCATATAATCATCAAAATCGAACAAAAGAAAATTCTTTAAAACGAAAAACCACCAAATTGGTTGATTCTACAGTTAGGAATAATTCAGGTAAGTAAATCATGAACATAAGCTCAAACAGTATTGTCAAAGGCGCCAAACCACTCAAAAAAGCCTGAAACTATGTATTAATTATGGATACAGATTTTTTTTAGGAAAATTACGTTTTTCATGTTGCTTCTAACTAGAAGTGAGAAGTAGCTTTATATGCCTAAGGTTGGTTACCCCTTGTTGTTGTCGGTTGACGTTTCCTGTCAACCTGCTGTCAACTATCAATTAAATTATCCATACAACCTAACCAAATTTATGGCAACCTATTCACAACCCTAGGGAGTAATTTCTTGTTGATACGACAATACCTAAAGATGTAGTTCTCCGTAGTATTAATAAAAGTATGGAAAACATTGAGTATGAGGAAAAAATTATAAATTCAAATGTGTTGCCCACATGACGGCAAAAACTGCACTTACGCTCATTTTGCGGTAAAATCTTCCCCAAACACAGTGGTCTATTCCCATAAGGGTCCCTCACGGCGTAAATCTTGTTCTTGAGCATAATCACGAGCGAGTAACTCAGGGGTGCCAACTGCATTAAATGCTTGATCCTAGCCGGCCAATCGGGACCATTCGATTCACCTTCTGGTGGATTCAAACACAAGGCTTGTGTTATCAATTCGCTGTCAGAATGAGTCGATAAACCTACTCCTCGACCCAAGACCATTTTCCTCAAACTGTCACAATTAACCAATTCGCCATTATGGGCCACGGCGAGGGCCCCATGTTGGGTGTGTACCACGAAGGGTTGACAGTTGACCTCTTCGGAGGCGGCACTTGTCGAATAGCGTGTGTGACCAATCCCGATACTGCCCTTTAGGGTCCGGATCGCTTGGTCGTTGAAAATGTTACTGATAAGACCCATGCCTTTGACAATGTTGAAGTATTTCGAGCATTTGCCCTCGCTGGTGACGATTCCCGCTGATTCTTGGCCTCTGAAGGGAAAAAATCATGTTGGCTGAGACAATTTGACAAATTTTGAAATTAATTTGGCAACACTGAACTTAATTTCAGTCACAGCACACTTAATTGAAATTTACCTGTGTTGGAGAGCAACTAATCCCCAACAAATAATTTGCGAAATTTCTAATGTGGTTGGCCATTCGCCACATCCTATAGCCCCGAAAACACCACATTCGTGAGTCAGACCGGAAGTGACAGCCCCCCGACCTTTTCGCTTTTCAATCTCGAAGTTTTTCATTTCGCAAGCTAGAGAGTCTGCGTCAGGGTGTTCGCAGGGTTTGGTTTCTGTTTCACTTGACATTTTTCAAATCTGGAAAAAATTGATCCTTTTAAAACTTTTGATCTTTTAATAATAAATAGTATTTCAGAAAAAATCCGTTCAGCCTACGATTTTAAAAATAAGTTGGCAACATTGAATAATGAGAAGACAGAAGATATGAGACATACAGTTGCGGAATTAAAATTTCGGCCAGTATTGTCATTTTCATAATGTAAACTCTAAAACAAGCTTTACATTAATAACGTAATTTTTTACTCTTGCCTGTTTATGTCATTTTGACTTATTTACTTTCAAAAATAGTGATTTGTGGTATAATAATGGGTAGGCAGCAGATCAAAGCAATGATTTAATTACACTTAATTTAATTAATAAATTTCCTAAGACAAACAAATTGTTTATTAACTATTTAAAAAAAAAAGTTTGTCTAATGTCAGTCATCATGACAGTAAAGGGTACTTTACAGTAAACTTTTTAAAGTGACAGAAAAATACCGCCCGAAATTTTAATTCCGCAACTGTACTTCAGGCTCAGTGTTGCCAACTTATTTTTAAAATCAGCACAGGTCACCCCTATCTACAATGTGACTCAATACACAACATACATATCAAGTGTCTACAAAAAAATCTATTGGCATCATTGACTATTGGTAATACTTCTAATTTGTTATATCATGATGTGAATGAATAAGAGTTATTTATAAAAGTTTGACATTTGAATTTGAGAGTCGGGGTTGCCAAACTAAGATTTTAAATTTGACGCCAACTTGAGGATGAAAATCACGTTATTAGTAACCTGTGATAACAACAAAAAGGTTACACTGTTTTGTAATCAATAACTAAAAAATAAAATTTTATTAAAAACTCCGGTGTTGTTACAAAATTACAAAAATCCTTCAACTGAGAAAAGTATAAAATATATTTTTTTTATAAATAATAATGTAATGCATTCTGTAAACATTAAAAATGGAGGTGCTAATTAAAATATGTAATTGTTTTTTCACGATGATAAATTATATCCTTGTACAGACTTTTCAATTGAAAAAGAAAAAAAAATGATTGGGTTTATTCATTTCAGCCTGTTTTTATCTATAGTCGTGGTCAATTTTTAAAAACTGAGTTGTGTAAATTTGACTTTAAACATTCAATTGTTTTTTTTTAGGGACAACAATAATAAATGACAGAAATGTAGGCTACCGAGTTTTCCGCGATGTTACAATTTTTGAAAAAAAAAATTTACAAACCGAACGATAACTATTGATTAATTAAAAAAAAATAGCATTGCAGGCAAATATCAAAAGAACAAAAAGTGGATATCAAATTTTGACATTTCTGGAAGTTCACTGTGAAGCAGCCTTTAACGTCAAATTTCCTACTAAGGGCAGTTTCACATTTAAGACTTGGTTAAACGTATTTCTCTTATGGCGTTTCCAATGTAAAAGAATTGCGGCTGTAATTAAGTTATTTAAAAAGATATCAACGTCGATTAAAAACTCAATGTATCTTAGAAATGATATCTACAAAATGGCCTAAACAAAATTTTAAAAAATCTGATACTTATCAAATTACGGCTACTTAAATAAACACCTTTTTGTACTAAAACACTTGTAAAGACACCTAGGCTTCAAAATGAAAAAACTCTTCGGCCATTCGGTAGAGATTTTTATTTGAAACAGCTTGGTGTTTTTAGTTTTTTTTCTGTTATTAAAAATAAGCTTGATATGGCGACAATTCTAATTCGTTGGAGCACAAAATTTCTCGAACGATGATTTATGGCAGATAATTAGACAAATCCCGAGAAAGATTTACAGTGGGACCGGGAGGTCTGAGTAACAGACCCAAGTGCAGGGATACCTGCTAAAAATTATTAGACTTGTCACCTCTCACTTTCTTGTTAGTCTTGTTCATCTTACATAACATAAAAACAGTATTGACTTTTGTTTCCGTTGAAAAAGGAATTTTGTCGAGATTAGCCACCAAATCGGAGAAAGTTAACCTTGTAACTAGAAAAAGGATTAGCCGCTTAATAGTAATTTAGGGGTTTCAAGTAATTATTATTGATATTACAATAGGTAACTTGTTTGTCTAATATTTTCTTTATCCAGGGCTGGTATTTAGAAAGCAACCTTTTTTCTTATTACCCAGAAATGATAACCTAGATTTCATTGTGTTTTAGTTTTAGTCTCTTTTTGAAAGAGGAAAAAAAATTTCATTTTTAATTTTGCGCCAAAACTGCAAAGAATAGTAATTTATTATACAAGACGATAAAGAAATCTTTATCGTCGTGTATAATATTTCGTTTTATGTTGTACTCACCTACCAGATTTTCTTGAATATTTACAGTAGATAAAAATTACTTTATTTTCAAAGACGATAAAAGACTACTTTATTATTCATTCTGATTCAGTAAAAAGAAAAGTTCATTTTTCTCTTGATTTTGGACTAATATTATTATAATAATTTTTCTCTGCTTTTTGAGTCCTATTACATTGGTTGTTTTATTTATATGACAACTATATGTCACTTTGACAATTAATTAATTAACCTAATTTACACTTGAATTTTAAATATAGGAAATAATATGATATATATGATATAAAATTTATATTTTTTGGAAAGTATAGTTATTGTTATTTAAAAGAGAAAACACCAACCCTTTACATTGTAACCTCCCTAAAGTAGTAGGGGGAAGCTTCTGTTAATATAAGACGTTCGAAACTATGACAATTTTTAATTACTGTTTATCAGTTGGCTGTGCTATTGTGTGAAGTTTGTGCTTAGTGATCTTTTAAAACATGGCCAGAAGTAAAGGTAATGGCAGAACTTTGTCTAGTACTAAGAAAAACAAAGGGAACATTGCTTCTCTTCGTAAGTACAAGGTAAGTCACATTTTCTATACTTTATCATATTTCACATTTTACCTATAATATTAAAAAGCACTCGGGTGGACAGAAAACAATTAAAGTACCGAAAGCGCTGAATTCTGTATGATTATTAGTTTTTGAGATACAAATTAACTTTTAGCAGACTCACCCTGCATACTTAATAATAAAATGAAATTTAAAAAATAGACACAACGTGATTTTTCATTTTTGAACTTGTTTTTAGAATTTACAAGATCGGTTGAATGCGGAGGAAACATCACCTAATACGCCCGAAAGTGTCCCTTCATTGGAAATTGCTTCTAATGACCCATCAACATCAAAAGATTTAAAAAATGTTACTGGTACGTATACATATTAGATTAATCCGAACGTCTTGTAAGACCTAAAATAAATCTATCGAATCTTTAGTTCCAATAAATAGTACTCGATAATCAGAACTATGAAAAAGTTATTTTTTTTATAATGCTCCATCTATATATTTTATTACATATGTTTTAATGAAAATTAGTATTTCAGTTACTTTAATTAAGAAAAAAATTAATTCGGTAAACCGAAAAATCGACAATCCGGAGAACCCCTTCAATTAGTTCCTATTTATCGAGATTTACCTGTGTTTTCATTATTTTTCCATTAAATAAACACTTCAAATTTAAAACTAAACTGTTGAAAATAAGAAAATTTTACTTGAGTCTACAAATATCAAGTAAGACCAATCTAGGTAGTGTTGTAAATCCCAAGTACATCCTTTGTTGTGACATCAGCTTAACCACAGAATACCTAATAAACGCCCCATAAGCCGGTCGGGCCCAAGGATGGTAGACATAGAGGATTGCTCAGGCCCTATGCTGCAATGTTAACCGTATTTCATCATCCCCACCACATTGCGTGACGTCACAACTGGCCCACATTGTTTACATCAGCAGTGCTTCGTGTTTTTGTTGGTGTTTTAATGATATTAGAGCATATTAAGATCGTACAAAAAAAATGTAGTACGAAATAATGCAAATTTTAGTATATTTAAAGTAACTCCAATAAATTTAAATAGGTGGTGCATATATCGTCCCTATATGCCTGGTAGATGGTATGCTGTATATGGTTGTAACAGCAGCCAAATAAAACCAAAACAAATGGGTGACAATCTCATTTTTTGAGAAAGGAATGGGTCAACAGGTGCAGACGAGCTGACAAGTTCAACTCGATTCGTAGCTCAATTTGCTCCATTTCACAAACAATGATTATCAACGTAATCTAAGAAACAAATTTTTATAATGCATTCATTTTTGTTTTAGGCTAGAGTAAGCTATTTTATTGTCATACAGCTACAGTCGCCAAATTTCCATAGCCTATTCTGATCTAAAACAGAAATGAATGTATTATAAGTAGATGCATATTTTATAAACTTGCATCGCTAACATTACACCAGATACAATGTGTTTCAGTATAATTTCCCAAGCATATTTTTGATCTTGTAACCCACAGAAATTCTGTATTGTTTGTATTAAAATTATAAACGTGGGGTGTTATAAAATTGTTAATTGATTTTTAATTTATGTGATTTCTTTATTTTTCAATAATTTTAGAATTACAAAATTATTTTTTTACTATTGTATTATTTTTATAATCTCTAAGTCATGTGGACAAATAGAGAAAACAAATATTATTAATTTAATCTTTGTGATATCATTTCACTGAATTTTGATTGTACCTACACTGGTTTCAAAATTCAAGTTTAGTCCAGCTACCAAATGTTTTTATTTGAAGAAATAAAATTTATATTGTGTTGAAAGTCGTTTTGCTCATTTCTTTCTTCTTTAAAGTCATTACATTATTATAAAAATGGTTTATTTTGTTTTACATTTTTTTACCTATTATCCATTATTTTGTATTATTATTTATCAATAAAATTTATTGCATATAAAATTGTTAAAAAAAAAGTTTCTATTTTGTATGTATACCTAGGAATATTATTGATATTTTCACGACTTTGTGACCAAAAAATTTCAATGGCAATTTATTTATTAAATCATTTTTGTTTGAGCATTTTAAAACGTAAACAATACCCGTCAATATAAAAAGTAAAAAAATTTGTTCCTATTCTGAATGTCTTATATATCATTAAAATACAGAACAATGAATTATTGGAATTATT